AAGTCATGCTCTTAAATCCAACATGAAAAATAAGATTTGAGGCTTAACCTACAAGCACACAGATGATTTTTCCTACATATGAAATTATCCCTCGCACAATACCTATATTATAACCAGACCTCTGCAAGGACCAAGGTTCCTATGCGGGCATTCGTGAAATATTGCACTACTGTATTTGTGGTGATGTAAACATGACAAAAAACGAAACCAGGGAGACCTCAAGTGTTAATCCAGCAGTTACATTTTTATTGTTAAGCGCATCGAGGCTTTAGCATAATGCGCTATTTAGGCGAAAATTATTATTTTATTATTATTAATCCTGGCATCAGGTTTTTTTTGTTCTGCTTGTTTAGTGCCAATGATAAAAAGGTGTAGTAGCTGTGGCGGCTGTAGGATATATTTTCAGGGGGACTAGAGCTCGTCGGCCAGAGCTTGTGGAAGATTTTGTGAAGGTGTTCCCCTTCCAAATGAGATTTTTTAAGAATGGGACCCTCTAGATGGCCAGAAATGGCACTTGAGCTGTGACAGACATGTGTTGGCTTGGCATGGGCCTATTCTCATATTTTTTTTTAGTCCAACTGCCCGACAAGCTCGGTTTGATTTTTTTTTGGGGCCCCCCCCCCCCCTACATTAACTATGGATCGGAGCCAACAATGGTTTACTATACATAGTCTAGCTTCCGATAGAAGCTGCAAAAGGATTATCCTGTCAAGTATGTTTTTATCAAACCACAACACAATTCTATGCTGTGTCTGTAGAACCTTATCCAAACCACAGTATCGGGTATAAAATTGATGCTTTTTGGAGTGCAGATAAAGTTTTCTGTCCATACTACCCAGGAAAGTCCCTGGAGTCCAATCCATCACATTTAAGACAGTTGGACAACGAAAGTAAACAACAGTCCATAAATTTTTCCTCTTATGCAGTTTACTATTCTTTTCGTCAAAATAGAAAATTATTAAATAGGGCACGACGTCATATCCAGTTTGGTATAGACGTTCATAACGAACAGATATCTGGTAAGTCGCCTTTGCCTGTTTACAAAAAAACAGCGCATCCTAAAGGTTCCTTTGCTTGAAAGCATAGGAACCAAAAATGGGTCGGAGGGCCAAAGAGAATTTTTGATTTAACACCAAAGACCACTCACATAAAGGTTGATGTAAAGGCTCAAGTATTTAAGGGTGTAACTATAGCGCACAGCGTTATCCGAGGGCAGCCAGGGGTGGGTATGTGAGGGGGGTGTTTCCATTCCCAAAACAAGATTTTTAAAGAAAAATTGTGACTTCTAGATGGCTGTCAATGGTCGATTCACCATTGTTATGTTCTGCTTGACTGATCAAACCCAGACGAAGTGATTGCCGAGACAGATTTGGCTTGGCGTAGGCAGTATAGTACTATGATGGGAAAACTAGACCCTTTTTTTTTTGGTCCAACTGCCCAACGAGGTTTGGCCGATGGGGGGGGGCTTAAGCCCCCTTCCACCGCCCCTGCTGGCACCATCCCTGGACCCCTTCACCTCATCATCGAGCCCCCACTTCACCTTTGCTTCCCCATCAGCCCCACCCCCCCATCATATTTCAAAACTCCTACATATGCCACTGAATATGAGATTTATACCCTGCAAATTTTAACATCAAATTATAAACAAGATATATTTCAACTATATGATAGTGACTCAAATTTTAACAAAATGATGATTGTGTAGAGTGTGTATACTATAGACACAATAGAAACAGCACAATACAATAGAACAATACTAATTTTTATAACCCATTAACAACCCTTATAGATTCTACTTCTATTTTGAGTTTCCTACAACAAGCTAGATCCTAACTATATTTAACAGTTAAAGGATGTTTTTAATATACAACTTAAAATGTAGAGCAATTATATGAAGCTTAAAAAAGACAATCATGTAAGAATAACTTTCTATCATATATGATTTTCAATTTTGAAAGACATCACATTACGAAAATGAAAGCAAAAGAAAAAGCAATCAAAAGAAAAAAAATCTAATTTTATCTAAAATTTATCTAAAAAAATGTAAGAAACCTTTAATTTAGTTATTAAGTATGGAGTACAAAAAAAGGAGTTGTTTGACATTTACGTATGCGAGCAAAGGACATTTCAGAAAGGTATAATACTTTTAAGGTACAATAAATATTATTATTACAGTATTATATAAAAAGGGCAACTATTTTTTGAGCAGGAAATTATTGAAAAAAATGAAACAAAACGGATACAAGTAAGACTTTCTATAGAAAGTTTGCAACCCACAGGTCTTGATAATTTTATCATGCCCATCACTGCCCTGAAATCTGCAATACTTGTATATTATTATTAACATAAAACAATACTTAAATCATCATTTCACCCACATGCATTTTTGTTATCCTATTCCATATACTAATTTACATCTAGCGCACGGTCTGTTTTACCCCTATCTATTCGACCACAAAAACCAATTTTCTATTTACATGAAGATGATACAATCAGTATTGTTTATTGGTATATTTTTGCTAACATCTGAATGCATGCAAGGCAGTGTTGAAAACACTGTTTACATTACCACTGATCTACAGTAATATTGTAAACATGGCATTCATAAAGTAAAGGAATGAAATTACAACCTGAAGAAACATTCACTTTAATCTCAATAACTGGATAAGAATACAGGTATAAGAAATTTCTAGCTGCCAATACGAAAAAAAACCAAAAAAACCTGCAACATTTGGAATATTTGAGGCCTAGGTAAACTTTCATGGACAAAAGAGGTGATGAAGCTTTTGAATTTTGTATACAATTTTTAGATTTTCTCTGGCTAGATCTAGATAGTTACTTACAAGAGATTAGTGCAGACAAACAATGTCCCTACTTTGTTCAATAATTTCTAACTAGTGTATGGAAGGCACCTATATTATAATTACATATTATTTAACACACTAGTATGGACGACTCATACTTTTTATTAATGTGTATGTAATCTAATTAAATTAATGAGAATAATCAAAAGAAATCATGTAAGGCTAATTGTGCTAAGGGCTATCCATATCAGGCATGTTTAAATATCTCCAACATTACAATAATTTAGTCATATAAACACACATATTTAATGAATTTTACAAAAACACATCATACAGTAACAAAGACCCTGTTGTAATATCAATCTTACAGAGCACATGCTAAAGCAAGAATTGAATTGTCATATTTACTGAAATTTCTTTTAAAATACTTAATATGCACCAACCAGTATTATTTATTTTACAACATATTTTTAAAATGGAACATTTTTTTGCATTTCTTAACAAATTGCGTTAAAATTTTAAAACACCAGAAAAACTGTATCAAACTCTAATTATTATCTTATTCCACACTCTGAAAAAGTTTCTTCATGTCTGCTAGGGCTTCACATATATTGTGTTGCATCCGTCGAGAATCTGTTAACGGAGAAGACTTCTTGGATGACACGTGAAAGAAAATCATCGACTCTTCGGGAAACATGTAGGATATACCATAGCCTTCATCAGACACTGGGCCAAAACCACCTCCAGGGCAAGCCTTAAATTCATTTTAAAAATATCAAAATGGTGTTAATTTTAAAGAATTTTTAGAATAGTGTAATAATCGTAAAAAAAAATTGTTATGTTACTTATAATCAGTTACATTTGGAAATCGGGGTCAGTTGGTATGTTTCTTATTTTTCAACACATTGGTCTAATTTGGGGGGGGGGGCGGGGAGGTNNNNGATCATTCCAACCACTGATAATTGTAGTGTCATATTCAGATACCACATAATGTCAGCATTCAAGCTATATGAAATATATTTACACATTTACACATACCATCGCCCTTTATATTGTAATAAGTCTGTCAATTTGTACCGGCAAATTGGTAGGAGTAAACCTGCAGTGGACTAGCATCCACTGAGGGAGAGCATCGCACTCTCATCCACGTCCAGCTACAAAACTGGCGATAAGTTCCAGCCCTATGAGCCCTAGTGGCTTGCCAAGAATTAACTTTACTTAGCCAATACATTTTGGTAGGTAAAATGTTAAACAAAGGGTGAAAATTATTAATTTAGGTATTAACTATATTAATTATATAGTTTGAATAGTGTGAAATATCCAGTATTTTGTGTTTCCTCCTTCTATTTGCAAAAAAATATATTATTTTTCAAATGAAAAAGCTGATGCTATCTATACATTCATATCTTTGAGTCGGGCAGGCACACTTGGGCAACAACATTTTTTTCACACTAAAGCGTCATAAAATTTCTTAGGGCTTACTTTGTCTCGATTTGCATAGTCAATTTTGGGGCTAGACGGCATTTGTTGCTGTGGTGTTTGACTTGTTGATAAAGTCCAGGGCATCGTTAGTGCATGATGTAAGAAATCACTTTCCTGAAAAATACAACATTTCGATATTAAATACTTATTGTTATTGTCAGTTCACCCAATGTAATGGTAATATTTTTATCACTATTGACTGTGCCACCAACCCCACCCACCCCCTAAATGACTGTGAACAAATCTAGTGGAAGCAACATATTTTACGTCTGTATGATCCTTCTATAACACATTCTGACAGTAATTATGTGTTTTAGTTCCACAATTACAGTAAAACTAAGGAAAATCTGAGTATATATGTAACCATTTTTTTCACACCAAAAAAATAAACGTCTCCCTCAAATAAACTTCCTCTCAAAAACCCTTTTCAACAATAAACGCCCCGGAGCATTTATTTGAATAAATACAGTATCTATCTATATTTAATAATATCTTAAAAACCCATCTTCCTTCAGGTATGCTATGATATCAAGAGACAATTATAAATTATAATTTTTTATATGTAAATTGTAACCGTTTGCTGTAATTTATTTTTTAACTGAGATGCATTTTGGAAATATACTTTGAATAGAAAATTTAATACAATAATCTTTTCAAGTAATATAAATAATTTTCAAGTAAAATAAATATAATAAACATATACTATTTACAGTGTTTTAGTAACAGTTTTTGAATAGTGAGACAAAATATTATAGTTATGACTTCTACCTGATTAAATCCTTTACAGAGGACGTAAAGTGCAAACAGATGTCGGTCAACCCCACGGCCACTCATTGAATCTTTGTATAATTGCACATGAACTTTGGCTGCTTCATGGAGAAGTCGCACCTTTTCCTCATCTGAACGATTATCTTCCACCATTCCCCTTTAAAAAGTAGAAAAATAAAATTTAAGATTTTTTTGGGATCAATTGATCAATCCCCTGCAATCTTAAACACTTAGCTAATAAAAGCCAAACAAATTTAATGGCAGTGGAGTCATTGTAACTAAAATACACACACAAAAATTGAATACATCACATGAGGAAAACAACTACTGTAAAACAATACAAGACAGCAACGAAGAAATTTCTATTAATAGTTTATGACCAAAGTAATCTAGATAATAAAAAAGAACAATGCTATAGGAAATAAACATACTTTACAAACTGACAGCTCTCTGGCGTAAGTGATCGTACGGTTTCAGTCCGTCCCATTCGATACAGGCGAGTCATGGAGGCTTCATATGTAAGAGCGAATTTTCCAGCATCCTTGTAGTATGCTAATTGGAGGGCAATTTGTATGTAGGCATCAGGACTCACCTGTAGAACACATATAGATGTTTATCTTTTAGTTTGTGTACCATTTCTCTTGTAGATATTGTACAGTACTACCATATTTATTTGAATTAACACCCCCCACCCCCAAATGGCTAAAGAAATCTAATGGAAACAACATCATTCTCAACACATTCTATTAATGTTCTACTCCAGCAGACTTACATTCTTCTAATCTGGATGGGATTAATGATCATGCAATAACACATTTTCACAGTAATTATGTGTTGTAGTTCCACATTTACAGTGAAATTAAGGGGGCATTTATTTAAGTATACTGTAACTATATGTATCCATTTTACACCACAATAAAAAAAAAATAAAATAAATGCCTCCCTCAAAAATCCTCCACAACAATAAATGCCCTGGGGTGTTCATTCGAATAAATACAGTATACACACTTTGTTAAATATTGTGGTAAATACTGAACCATCTTCAAAAAAATTAATGAAAACATTGAATTATTCAATTAATAGGATAATAATTCCCAAATATATAAAATATAAATAATTTGTTGCTGGTTTTTGTTTAACATTGTAGAAACACTTGTGGGAACACATTTTATAGATATACTATATTTCAGTATTACCTCCTGCCAATTTTTACGTTTATATTTAAGAATGAACTAAATTAAACTTGAGATTAAAGATAACTTTTATCTGAGCAGGAATTAATCACATCATCATATTATTTTTAGTCAAGTTTTGCTACTGGTATTAACTCTTAAGCTTAAACTAAACAAAATATGAGATTGAAGTTTATCTGAGCAGGAAAACAATTTTATCCTAAAATATTTCCTTGTTCCGTTTATTTATAATTATTTCCTGTAATCAATACAATGCAATAGTGTTTGTTCTATTTTAGATTTTATCTTGCTTCTGGTTTCTTAAATTCAATAAACTTGAGATTAAAGATAACTTTTATCTGAGCAGGAATTAATCACATCATCATATTATTTTTAGTCAAGTTTTGCTACTGGTATTAACTCTTAAGCTTAAACTAAACAAAACATGAGATTGAAGTTTATCTGAGCAGGAAAACAATTTTATCCTAAAATATTTCCTTGTTCCGTTTATTTATAATTATTTCCTGTAATCAATACAATGCAATAGTGTTTGTTCTATTTTAGATTTTATCTTGCTTCTGGTTTCTTAAATTCAATTTTCATTATCTAGTTTCTTTCTATGAAAGTTAGAGCTACGCACAATACCCAACTTAGAAATCCTATCCTGTATACAACTTTTTATATTTGTTAGGCTCTGTCTGGACTATCAAATTTTCTTTGACAAAAATCTGTTGTATACACACATATAGAGTCATGATATGCCTATATATGGTCACGATGTGATATCATCAATACCATATATAGTCATGATATGCCTATATATGGTCACGATGTGATATCATCAATACCATATATAGTCATGTCACATGTTTTTGTCAAATTATCTTGACCTCATACATCAGCTAAGTTGGTAGATCAAACTCCCCAACAATACCAAAGACTTATCCATCAAAGTGTATAATCCTAACATCAAGAGCACAAATTAAACACATACCTTACACTTTTTGATGAAACCCTTCCCATAATCCTCATGAACCTCTACACATAAATCCAAGTCACTGTTATTCTAGAAAAGAAATGATTTAACAGCTATAAGAACAAATGATAATACCAATAAATTATTTGGATACTTAAGAAAACTTATATTATTGAAATGTTGCCAAATGCCAATGTTACTTTAATTGATTATATTAATAATAATGATATACAGTATAATGAATCGAAAGTGAAAATGGGAAAAGAAAAATAAAAACCACAAAAAACATGATGCAAAATAAGATTTTGAATTTGGAATTAAGGTGAGCTACCCACACAAAAGAGAGAAACAGAGAGAGAAAAACTATAATAAATGTAAAACGAAGGAAAATTATGATACAGGAGCAATTCATTGTAACTAATTCTGTACTGAAATTATACAAATATGAAATTCAGAATGATGATGAACCACCAATCTAATCCATCACAACTAAACACTAACATCAATAAAGTGATTTTATCACCAAGCCTGGAATCTCTGTCAATAATATTAACTTTATTGTCTCCCTTTTGAAACAGTCACAATTCTCAATGACAAGTGCAACAAAAACGAAATGCAAAGAAAAGCCTTTTAACAATAATACAATATGTGAATGTATGCATTTCATAAACAGAGAAAAAAAAACCAAGAACAATATTTTAATTTTTTTTTTAATTCCACACCAACTGCCATTTACAGGATGGATGAAATACATAAAAAGTGATTAAAATCTTTAAGTGAAACGGCAAGTTATATTAGGATTATAAAAAAACTATACACATATCATATTTGTTTTGATATCTTACTTTATATTTTTTGTTTTGCTCACCTGGATGGCAAAATTCCTTGCCCTTTCAATGTGGCCTGCAAAGGGTTCGTTTACTTCCCACACCAACATAGAGGGCAGTTTATATGTAGCTTGTTTAACTCCCACTACGTCCTTGCAATGACCTTCCTTATCATAGAGATCTCCAAGCACCCTAAGTATTCCAAAGTAAATACAAAAGTAGAAATACTTTAAATAATAATCATTAAAAACAAAAACCAGATTAGGCTATCACCGCACTACTAAGTCACTATGGCGCACCACAGACACGAGCTCCTGCGAGCTCTTGCTATCACAAGGATGAGACCCCGAAAACTGACTTACATGAAGACATGCCAGCCAGCCATTTCAGCCCGGAAAGGTCCATCCACGCAGCGAGAGCCCGCACCGGTCAATGTCTATACAGCGCCACCCAGGAAAAAAAAAAACTAAACAATTGCCTAAATTCAAAAGTGTCATTAATCAGTTTTAGTTTAATCACACACATTTCAAAAACAGAACAATGTACATTTTTAAATGTTATTGTTTATTGCTATTGTCAGTATTACTGCTATTAGGGTGGGACTCTTTTGTATATCTTGTTTTCCAAACTTAATTTTTCTTAAAGATTGTCTGAGGGCAGAAAAAAATAAAAGTAAAATTTTGTTTTCTTATTTAGCAAATAGTTTTGCCTAAAACATTCAGATCAAGGAGAAGATAAAATGTTATTGGTGAATAAAAACAGTGTAGTAATGGGAAGGCTAAATGCTTTAAATTTATAGAATTAGCAACAAATTGACATATATCTAATTTTTGGAGATTTTAAGGAAGAGGAAGGTGTAATAAAAATGAAGAAAAATTGTTTATTTTCTGAAATTTTCATTTTTTGTGGCAGCGGGTGCAATAATTGGCCAAAAACAAAATTTTATTTTTATTTGAAATCATCATTATTGGCAGCAGGTTCGGTAAACAAGGTATGAAAGCCTCGCCTAATGCTTTGCTGTTGAAAGTGTTTACTCCAACTTTTGTTTTTTATAACATAATCCTACATTTTGGCTAGTCACTTCTGTTTTCTCTTTTGAGTTTCATTTCAAATCTATTTTTGCTATGAGCATAATTATGCCTTTCACAATACAGCATAGCTCATATTTCAGTTATGGGAATATGCCTCACAATTCACTTTCTATGGGAACATGTCTCATGATTCAGGTGAGGGTGATCCTTCCAGAGGAGCTGATATGTTCAGTTACAGCTAAAAAACAGTACATATAATTGGAGGAAACAAAAACTAAAAAGTTGAGATCTGTCTTTCATGTATCAGTTGCTATATGAGCCTCACAGGTCCATTGCTAAAGCACTTTGAAGATGAATTAGCTAGTACATTATTTGAAAAGCAACAGTCCACAGCCAAGATTGACACATGATAAACCAATACCCACAAATATGAATCTGAATTTCAGCTTTTCTTAAATTCTTTGTAAGCTGTTTCAAGATCTAAAGCATCCACTGATTATTCACAAATTGAATATGGCAACTCCGAAGAATGACAAACGTGAGGACATAATTGATTCTATGTTTCGTTCTTTATTAGAACATTGTCAAGAATGTCATTCTTGACAATCTTCTAATATTAAAAACGAAAAGTAGAATCAATTATGGCCTCACATCTGTCATTCTTTGGAGTCACCATATTCATAATTCTGTTTCAACATGTGGATCCATTATATGGACTTACAATCACATGGCGATAGTTACTATTGTATGCATATTACAACCCATAGGAAGTCTTAACTCATTGTTATCTAACAGCATGCTTCTTCTGAATTCAGCTTATAAAGCTATACTGCATATGCTGAAATTATTTATTTTCACTTCTAAAAACCACCATTACAAAAGGAAGTTTCCAATTCCCATCATTGTTAACTGAGTGCAATAACACATTTATAAAAAGGAAATGACATTTTGCAGAGCATTGCACCATATTCATAGAAAAAGCATGATACATCAAAAACCATTTCAGACTAAAAAACTATCATAGTTTATTAGAGAAAAGCGAGTCTGAAGATGATTCGGCAAAAAAATTGAAAAACTAAGCATAGTATGTTTCATAGTACAGTATTGTAAACACACATGTAGAAATACATAAAACTATTAATAGCTGAAATATTATTATTTTGTATAGGTGGGCAAAGTGCGGCCTGTGGACACACACGGCCCGACATTGATTTTGTTGCGGCCCGCAAATATAAATTAAAAACCCTATGTGTGTGGCCCGCCAACCATCTTTGGCTAGAAAACCCCTTGTCTTTTTATAGATCGACATTGATCATCTGTAAAAATTAATATTGGAACTGAGTATAAAGTGGTATAAAAGCAGTACATGGTTTTTTGGAAGTACAACTCCAAACATCAAGGTTTCGGTGCAGCCCTCGGTTTGATTCAAAAATTCACTTTGGCCCTCCAAACCACTTTCATGACCACCCCTGATTTTCTAAATAATTAATTTCAATAAAATGAATGAATTTTCAATGAATAAATAAAGCAAATTCCAACACAGTTAGTCAGCATTAAAACAACTAATAAAATAACTATGTGGGTTATTAAATCATGATATGGTACACTATTATGAAACAGTGGCAGCTAGGCACACAGTATTGAACTTGCATAGAGGTATGCCGTTACAAAATCAGCGTACTGTGGCAATTAACATAAGAATACAGCAGTACTATATAATGTAGTGTACAGAGAAGTCATAAAACTTTGGCAATAGTAAGTTGATTTCAGAATACCCATCATTTTAATGCTTATAATGTGCAGAACATGAATAAAAACTTTCATTTTATAAATTATAAACTTTCAGTTATAAATTTGTGTAGCAGACTGTCAAATTTTAAATAAATATTAGACCCCCACAATAAAACTGTTGAATGAAAATTCAAAAGAAAACTTTAATTACAAAGTAGAAAAATAACTGAACAATTTTAACTTCCTACAAATAATATAAATGTGTAATCAATTGTAACAGACTGACAAATGTTAAATATGTTAGACCCAAAATGTTTGAATGAAAATCCTAAAAATTATTATTACCAAGAAATTATTCAACAAAACCAAAAACAGTATAACAATATAAATTTGCTACAAATAATGATTTGTAATTAATTCTCAACTCTTTACCAGGTCTGTAGCTGTAAAAAAACTAAATTTGGGTGGTAGACATTTTAAGAGCAGATTGGTGATAACATTGGTAAACTCTAAATAATATGAGTGGATTTTAAGGATGGAAAAGTGGGTTAATAAGGGTTGGTGGAGGGGCCATAAAATTTGGATTTGACTGGGTGGAAAACTTGGGAACACCATAACTACATCCCTGCTTACAAAAATTTATTTATCTAATTAAGAAAGTATGATTTAAATAGTAAACTTAAACAGAAAGTGCACTAGTAATTATAAATCAAAGCATAGCATATACAAAACTAGAAACAAAATACAAAAAAAAAAAACAAACAAAAAAAACAAAATCAAAACTTTAACATTCAATATATTGGCCAAATATCTAAGGGGAAATGTAAGCTTCAGTGTATTACGTTTGCCATGTTATTTAAAAAACACATAATTTATTGATCTTGCCTTTCTGCACTGTAATGTTTGAGGTAGCCAAGCACTCTGAGTCAAAATCATAACAGGAGAAAATAAAATTAGGATCAACGATGATAAAAATTGTACAATCGGTTCTGGGACAAAACTCATTACAATGATAATTAAACACAATAATATTATTTATAATAATAATAATAATATTTATTAATTTTCATCCAATATTTTGTTTGTACTGTTTACTATAGTGATATTTTAAATGGTTTGCCAACAACAATGTAATTTCTTACTGTACTTCTTCTTTTTTGACCAATAATTATTCTGTATTTTGTAATATTTAAAGATGTATTGTTCCTTGCTAATGTCAAAAAATCATAAAAAAATAATTTTTAAATAAACTTGCTCATATTGCAATAGCATACAAATTAACTTGAAAAATAAAAAATTATTTAAAAATTAAAAATAAAAAAATTATTGAATTTAAAAAATGTCCTGATTTTTAAACCAAAAAATTATAATAAAAATAATAAAAAACTTCCAGTGACTGGAAGTGTTTCTATCATTTTTCGCTGTAAACTTATGGGTAGACATTTTTTAAATACACTAATTGCTATGTTCAAGTTGATAACTTTGATGTTACTTCAAAATGGGCTAGTTAATTTCAAAAAATATTTTTATGATTTTTTTGGTATTTAGCATGGGACAATACATCTTTAATGAAATTATATTTAAATAATATTTGTTATTTGAATGAATGTATTTCATATATGTACTATTGCAATTTTCCAATTCCAGTGCCATGGTTTAGTCAGGTGATGCATTCTAAAGTGACAATACCACAGGGTAATATGGTATTCATGCGATTCAGTGCACTTTACATTCATCATGCATTACACGAGTCAACAGGCTACATCTCAGCCAATCACAGGGATTAAAAAAAGAGCGCAGCATGTTTTATTTTTCAATAAGTTTCTGGATTGCAGACCTCTCCCTAATTATCACACTTTAGCATGAGAATTGTTGGACCTACTTTAAAGACAATGTGAGCGATATGACTTACTCTTCTGTCATACAGAATTCCTGCATGTGGGCGACAACAGGTGCATCCGCCCAGGAATGTTCCGCATTGAAACCGTATCTTGCATTCGCAAAGAAACATAAAGATAATGATTTGTCAAACCACATACTCGTACCATTCCCACCAATCATGTATCTGCTTCTATCTTCCATGCTCTCTGGTGACACTGTTTCCAGAGTAAGCTATGAACAAAAATTTTTTATCAATAGTTATATTTATAAGCAATAAATACCGTATTTATTTGAATAAACGCCAATGAGCCTTGTTGAGAAGGGTTATGAGAAGGGTGTTTGTTTGAGAAAGGCATTTATTCGAGAGTGGCATTTATTTTGTTTGGTGTAAAATGGATACGTATATACTCAAATAAATACCCCTTAATTTCACTGAAAATGTGGAGCTGCAACACATTATTACCATCAGAATGTGTTATTGCATGATCATGAACACTTATTCATCCTAACCAGGTTAGAAAAAATATAATTCTACTGGAGTAGAGCATTAATAGAATGTGTTGAAAATGATGTAGCTTACATTTAATTTGTTTACAGTCATTTAGGGGTGCTTATATTCAAGGAATGAAATAAACACCTCAGGGAGGGAGATCATTAAGGTATTTATTGCATAATCATAAAACATTAAAATATATAACAGCAGTCAAACAAAGGAAAGACTGAAATTGTTATATTTACAAGGGAATTAAAAAAAAAAAAAAAAAAAAATTACTATACACAATTCATAATTAGGCCTAAAATAAAATATACAATTCAAATTACAATTCCAAAATACAATTCAAAATTACTTATATAAAAAAAGGAAGTAAATATATAGGAATGTACACATAAAAAAAAAAAAAGGGAGGGAGATCATTAAGGTATTTATTGCACAATCATAAAAAATTAAAATATATAACAGCAGTCAAACAAAGGAAAGACTGAAATTGTTATATTTACAAGGGAATTAAAAAAAAAAATAAAAAAAAAATTACTATACACAATTCATAATTAGGTCTACAATAAAATATACAATTCAAATTACAATTCCAAAATACAATTCAAAATTACTTATATAAAAAAAGGAAGTAAATATATAGGAATGTACACATAAAAAAAAAAAAAAAAAAAAAAAAAAAATTATATACATTTGTTTATTTTCAATTATGCGAAACGGAGTATTTTCGAATCTGTTCAATAATTATTATAAGTTTATGATATGAACCTTAATAAAGTTCATTAAGAATTCCTATTATGGAGGGGATTGCAGAGTTCTTATATTTATAACATTTCTGGGGTTTGAGTTTCATTGAGTTGTCTTTACACCATTGATTGAGGTTATTCATGAGAACTTGTAACCTACTTTGGTTAACATGATTCCGATTGACAATATCAATAATGCTGAGATCGTCCACATATTTCCATCTATTTTCAGTTGACATGGCTGCATCGTTAATCATAGCAAGAAAAATAATTGGACAAAGTTTTGTCCCTTGCGGGACACCACATGAGACTGTAAGTGTGGAGGAAATTTCACCTAGGAATTTAACAGACTGTTTACGGTTAGTCAGAAAATTAGCAATGATAGGAATAATTGAGGGGTTGACATTCATTTTGATTAGCTTGTGAACTGCAATCGTGTGGTCAATAATATCGAAGGCTTTTTCAAAGTCTACCGTGCAAACATTAACAAAATGTCCAGGTTTTTCAAGTCCACGTAGTATTGTGTCCAACATACTTATTAGATAGTGATTAACAGAACTGCCTTTGATGTTACCAAACTGCTGAGTATCAATATTGTGTTTCATATCGTCCATTACCCATTCTGCTAAGAAACCTTCAAAGATGCGAGCTACTGTAAAATTGGAGTTATAGAGATAGGTCTAAAACTTGCAAATATGTAGGTAACTTTGTGATATCCAGGGCTGGTAATTGCGAGCAAATTTTTGCAAAGTGTAAATTTAATTCTTCAGCGAGAATACTTGGTTCTTTATTCATTTGATGTAACAATGGAGGTTTTTTTTTATGTACTCCGGTTAGCAATCTAACCTGTTGATGCCATTTTCCTGGTTCAGTTTGTCTAAGATTTTTTATCTTTCTTCTATACATTTGTTTTTTGGCCTTACAGATTTCTTTTTGAATCTTATTTCGAATTTCCTTAAAAGCATATGATTTACCATTAACTTTGAATTCAGCCTCACGCTGCTCTATTAATCTTCTAATGGTGCTGTTGATACATGGTTTATCTTTAGGTTTTTGAATAATTGTAACTTCAGTGAAGTGTTGTTTATAATGCGAAATTTATGATTCTTGAAATAACAAAAGCTTGTTCTCTGCATCTGGTTCAGAATAAATTAGAGACCAATCCTCTTGGGTGATCCATTGTCCAAAAGATCTAATAGAGGAGTCACGAAGAGGTCGGTAGACCAACCTTTTTGGTAAAGGAGGTTGATGTTGATTTAATGGTTTGGCATAAACAAGATGGTGGTCACAATTTGCGATTGAGGCACACATTTTGGGTGTGTCATATTTATCAGGAATATTTGTAAATATTTTGTCCAAAATAGAATTATTTCTAGTTGGAGTTGTCACTATTTGCGTCAATTGACATTGGTCTGTAAAGGGTTGAGTGTCCATATCATTGAAATCACCAAGTATAATATGATCAGCATTATTATAGCACGTTCGTAATGAATTCACAGAGACTGGATCTAAACTGAACTTGAGGTGGAGAATAGACAGCAGATACATAAATATCACTAATAAGTTGGATTGATGTAGATGATTGTAACTAAATTGTCATTACCTCATACTCGTCAGGAGTTGCTTCGCTAGTAATATCAAATGCTCTAAAGTCATCATGAACGTAAATACAAATACCGCCTCCACGTCTAAGATGGCGATCTCTGTGGAATAGCTGATATCCTGGTAAGTCACAAGCACCTGCTGGTTTATTGTCACTAAACCATGTCTCCGTGATGACAATTAAATGGACATTTTTGTAGTTTGTTTCAATTGTAGCAGAAAAATCGTCAAACTTGTTGTTTAAGGAGCGAGCATTTTGTAAGATTATCGAAGGTACAACAGGTTCACGGGTTTTCCTAATAACGTAGTGCAGTGTAGGCCTAGGCCTACGTGTTTTGTCAGCTATCTTGCAACAACTACGAGCCTTCCCTGTTCGCCGTCCACAAATAACTTCTATTGTATGTTTCAATTTTCTGCCCCTCTACTTCCTCTTTGGCGTTTGCGAAGTTCAGGAATAATTGCAAGTTTACTGAAGAATCGCGGGGAGTGAAAATATTGCTTACCAGAATTGAGAGAGAGTAGTTTTTGACGCGTGTATTTCAATGTCATTGTTACAGCGTTGACAAATTCCACAGGGCAAGGTGGTGGTGACGTTCAACGTGACCAAGGCTTGAATTCAGGTTAGCATGTGTCCAGCAAAAATGTACGTTAAAATTCGTAGTAATAGTAATCAATTAACCAAAATGACATCAAAAAGACACAAACAAAACACAAAATTCACAAATTCAGGACCAGACAACACTCAAACTACGAAAATAAAGCAAAAATGACTCGCAGGTCTCTCAGAAATTTTAAGTTCCTACTGCAGCTGCAGAGCGCCCTCAAAAAAAAAAAGGAGGGAGGCATTTATTTCAAATGTGGCTCTAGAGGGGCGTCAATTTGAGGGGCATTATTCAAAGTGGGGTGTTCATTTAAATAAATATGGTATGTATGGGGATTCGTATGTAAATATATAGTAACATTATGTAAAAACATTTAAAAATAGCATTAAAACTACAGAGAGCAGTGTTAACTTGTTTTGATGATTACCACAAAAGCTGCCTTTTCTATTTTCTCCATAGATTCTCGATTGACCCCATGCAACAGATATTCCTTGCGGATCTTTGCCCAATCAGCACGCTTCAGAGCTGTCAATGCAGCAAGATTTGCCCCAGCTGTTGCAGATTCTGATTCTGAAATATATCATTTAAGATTACTGTACTTTATCTTTGATCTTTGTAATTTATTTTTTTTAAAAATATGCTTAATGTTATGTATTTCAGTCTTATTTATATAAGTTGTTTAAAATTATGTTTTAATCGAATACTTTTAGTGCATTGTATTTTAGCGATTTTTAATGCATTATTGTATAGAAATAATATGCATGTGTTTATTTTTTTCTATTGTTTTATGCTTTAGCAATAAGGATTATATATTATTTTATTATCATTATTATTATTATTATTATTAATCATTATTACCATTATCATTATTATTATTAAACTTATCATTATTATTACTATTATCATCATCATTATTATTCCAATGGTGATTTCATAAAATTTAGTAGTAATGGTGTTTTGCCCTACCTGATGACATGTTAACATACTGAATGCTCAATACGTTCCCTAATACTTACAAGAAAACCTCTTTAAGTGCTGGGAACGTACTGAGCTTTCAGTATAACAGATCAGGTAGGGCAAAACCATAATTCCTATTATGATTACTATTATTAGAAGTTGCTTTAAATCAAGTGTTATTGTTAAAGTCATGCTTCGGAAGAAAACAATTTTGTTGATACATTGTACAGCTGATTTTTCTAGGACACAAAAAGCATATTTGATGAATAACTTGGAAATGCTTAATGAGATGCAGATTTTTGAATATATAAAAAGTAGGGAAAAATGTGGAAAAAATGGCAGTTACACTTTTTTCCCCCTGGTTTTTAAATATTCAAATATCTGTGTCTCATTAACTGTTCCCAGTTTTTTCGTCAAATATGTATTTTGTGTCTTAAAAAAATCAGTTGTACAACATACCTAAAAATTTTTTCCTCCAGAGGAAGAGTTTAATTTTACAATTTGCAACCTAGGTAAGAATTATTAGCGAATCACAACAAGAAAGAAGACACAAATTGTAGCAGCATGACCATCAAGGGCTTTTAGGGGATAGTAGCTACCTGTTTTTGTCTACCATGTCCCCCATAGTTGTTACCTTGTTGCTTGTCTGCATCCTCAATGATCCATTCCATGATACCTTCTAGCACTTTTGGAGACAGTAGTTGCCCCTTTTTGTCCATCATGTCAACCTTGTAGTATATCCCTTTCCTCATCACAACAATATGCTATCAAAGAAAAATACAAACACTAAATCACACAGAAAATGACTCCATTATTAGGTCAAAGATTTCGGATTTTCAGATTTCTTTAATAACTTCAACTGGCAGTAAAATAATGAATTTCGAGAAGTTTACAATATATACAGATATATTTTTAAAAAGGTTTGCTCATTATGAGGTTAATAACACAGTGTTTGTGTGTGTGTATGTGATATGGCACGTTAATGGATTGTCTGCTGGTGTACTTTCCAATCACCGCTAGAAGGACCCCAATGGAAATAAGTCTTTGGACTTTTGTGGGTTACACTTAGTGTTCACACCAAATAATTCCAATCCATAATAGGAACAGAACTGTAATTATTAAATGATGAAGGTCACCCTCTATATAGAATACAACTATAGTAACTTGAATTTTTAAAATATGGTTAAAATATTTTTAATAGTATAATATGAATATACAATTACATAATATTTCAATTTTCTTTCCAGCAGAAACTAGAGTTAGAGCGTTAAATGTAAACAATGGAGCTAGTTCATGACATTTATTTTAGTGAGGTGAAGACATATAGTGTTTGTTCCCATTGTTAGTACAGCTTATCGAGTGACCGTAATATAACTACCTTTATAGCTTTTTGTTAAGGCAACATATACGTTTTCCTTGAAATTATTTAGTAACATAGAATGGTTTATCTTTGTTCTTGGGCTCTCATGTTCAATTGTTCCATTTCACCACTATTTGTGTTCAGGATTAAACTAATGTGAATAGCAGCTACTGATTACTATATGAAGTTGTTTTGTTTAGTGCACTCTCTTTTATCTATAGACCACAGGTGGGCAAAGAATTACAGTCCCTATGTGTGCGACTCGCCAACCATCTTTGGCTAAAAATAAGTAATAGCAAAACTGAGCAGAAAGTGGCCATAAAAAAGTGTATGAAGGTGTTTGCAAGTGCACTGAAACATCAAAGTTTGAGTGCGGCCCTCAGAGTTGAGTCAAAAATTTCACTTTGGCCCTCCGACCAATTTTAATGCCACCCCTGCTATGGACTATGGAAAAGCCAGTCATGTTAGCGCTGTAAAGATTATCAAATTTTCTTTGACAAGCAATTGATGTATGCCCATATATAGTCAGGATGTGCCTACATATAGTAATGATGTGATGTCATCATGTTTGATAGTCTGGTCAGTACTTTAGGACGTTTGTTGTGTATTGAGCAATCTCTAGAATTTTGCAGTTCTTTGCGTCAAATCTGAACTTACAATAAAAAAATAAAAATAAATAAAAAATTGATTGAAGAACGTGATTTCCATAGTTGTACTTTGATTGCCAGTTTCAGTTGTGTGTCATTTCATAAGGAGAATCTAAGCTAGCATAAACAATGCTGAGTCCCTTACCTTTGATTGTGAAGAGTCCACGTGAACCAAATCATCAATTTCCTCTCCTGGAATCCTGTATCAAACACCGATAGGTAAATTAAACCATTAATGATATACTCCATGTTATAAAATATGCAAAAACATTACAAAAATTCAATAAAACATTAAAATGCTAAGTTATAAGTACCAAATAAGCAATTTCAAATAATACAAATATAACAAATACATTTTTTTGCTGATTTATAGACGTTTTGCTATTAAAACTAAGTTCTCGTAATCTAAAAAGCTCCGATGAGGGCAGTATAATAGAGGCAGTAGAGTATTTTGGCCCTAATGGCCGCCCATACAAAAGATCTATTAATCAATCAGCAGAGTGTTTCTAGAACTACTCATCGGAGCTAAAAATCTTAAAATTGACCACTGGCCATGTATTCTCAAAGTTAATGAATGCTTTGAAAAAAATAATTTATTAATAGTTGTAACTTTTAATATAAAGTCTTTTGTGTTTTAGGTTTTTACAAATTATTTATTGTTTGTTCATTTCCTAAAAGAAAAATATGCGCCTCCGAAACTCTGCCCGCCAACTGGTTAATTGTTTTTGGGAGTGTGCGGTGGTGGTGTGCAAACATGCGGTTCGATTGGGAAAATGTGAGAGTGCGTGACAGGAACAAGCTCAGTGTAAGACGATGAAGATTTAATTCAAAAGATTTATTTAAACAAATAAAGAAACCCTAATGGTTTTATTTTAGAGATAAATATACATAAATCTAACAAATCTAAATTTCATTCTCTACAAATTTCCTCCGTAATTAAAATAGCAACATGACTGAGGCTATGTATTTTTGGAATCTAACGTCCAAATCCGAATTAAACATCAGGCTAATGAAAATAATCACCCGCAGAAACATGCTTTGAGTTTTGTCTGGTGGAACTAGAAAGGTTTAACTTTCATTTTATTTAACATTTACTGCTGTGTCATTTTAATCAATTTATTATAATCTCTGTGGCATGACAGTTCGTTTTAACAGAATTTGGTAGGCCTATGCTTGTTGTTTTGTTATTTCTTATTACGAATGTTTACATAACTGATCATCTAGTTTTAGAATTTGATTTGTGTTTAGACCGAATAATACGTTCGGAATTAGGAGATTCGGATTTTCGGAATACATGTATTATTTTAAGTAGTATAATAACTATATTTTAAAAAACAAATCGCAGGAGAAATATCGTTTAGTGTTCTCGTTAGCGTGGGAACTATAGTTTCAGCGTGTCATGTACAGGCAATGATCAGATTGTGTGCTTCAAAACTGCCCACGCATGACCAGAACGATTTATCTATCTCGGATTTTCCACATGAAACTGACAGTATCTGTAAATCAGTAAAGCACATGCAGTGAAAATAAGGTTGCTTAGCATGAGGCGATATCTCCGCTGCTCGAGATGGCAATTACTTAAGAGGAGCCTAGGCCTAAATTATAACTAAATTTGTTTACAGTACAGTTTGCCCTCCAATTTTCTCACGACCAAAACAACTCCACTCCCTAAATCTCATATTGAGATTTAGTTTGTGTAAAGCATCGTGTGTGTATGTTTGTCTTGTGTAAGGGATTGTCACCTACAAGTAGGACAGTGATATATTCGCTATTGACAATCCTTGGCACATGTAGTGTGTGCCTAAATAAATAAATAAATAAATAAATTCAAGACCACCTTTGGGACCTGAAAATTTGGGGTGGTCTCAGGTTTGGTCTTCAATTAGTGGGCTAGCTTTGTCTTAAAATGTTGAAGATTGTTATTTGGGTCTTTGGAAATGTGGTTTTGAATTACAAGCGTCTCGGAATTAGAGGGGGTCTCGAATTGCACTCGAGGGTGCACTGTATATACAAATTTGCTTTCGCCATTTTGGCGAACGATGCAAATTGGCGAATTGGCAAATAGCTAGCGTGAGCATAGATTAGCGTAATATAATTACCTGGTTGTGCCATAAGCACGCTCGTATTGGGACATACAAACAGATATAGTGTTACGTATACGCATCGCAGGTAGTTGCTCCCGCTCCAGTAGCCTCTTAAAACACATATGCATGTGTGCGACAGCACCAGCTCTGCAAAAAAAGTGATTCATGTAATAACGTAATGGAATTCTGAATTATATAAAGAGTCGTTCAATATATTCAAAAGGGGCTGTATAAGATTTATTCGGTTTAAACACCAAGGATAGCCCACACGAAAGTCTTGAAGAAGACTTATTTCCAGTGGGATCCTTTTGGTGGTGATTAGGCAGTACACCAGGAGATAATCCCCTACTCTTTTCCGAAGAGTGTACTGCACATGAGCCACTATGTACATAGGACCAATGGCTTAACGTTTCATCTGCAAGACAATGCACTATTGAAACCTTAATTTCTACCTACAATACATTTCATTTTCATTAACCCATTAATCCAGCCTATAATCTACCCTTAATGTTAAATTCATAACTTTCACTATGATCACTATCATTGTAATATTTACTACTTTCATTCTTGACATTATTATCACTATAAAATTATTTCATTTCACTAATGTGACCATTATTTATTGTTATTTAAAAATGAAGTAATTTAAACTAGACAGTTAACATTCCTTTTTTTCTCTGACTTACCCACTGACCTCATCAACAGGTGCCCTCAAATACAGTAACCATACTTATCGAAGTATGCTCTTTCGGTTTTCCCTGCTGTTTTTTACTATGTTTTCAGTTATTTATTCTACAGTAAAATTTGCCTAAGTCGACTTTGCTTAACTCAATAATTCCTAAGTCGATCTTATTTTACATGCCAAACTGTTGTGTTTTCCATTAATTAACGATCTGTAAGTGGAATTTAATCTATGTTGAACAATATTTCAATGGCATTTTGGGTTTGACTTAGGCACATTAAACTGTAATATTACTTATGCATATCTAAAAATTCAATGAACAAGAGAACTTTGAACATAAACAAGATTTAATTTGAGACATGTTAGAGGAAATGACTTACCTAGCACATTGGAATTCAGTTGGTTTCCATATAACATTATCAAGACCGTAATAATTACAATTAATGTGGATTGGTGATCGATTCATCAGGTAGACATATTTCTCCCTGAAAGTAAAAATTCAATGACCATTACATATTTCTTTCTAGTGGGAAATGCTCAATGATGAGATTCATATACAGTACCAAGTCAATTGCCGTGGAATTTTAAACTCAGCTGTGATAGAATTGTGCACATTATGACAACATTACACATAAATATTTTATGTTTATTTGTTTTTACAAAATTTAACATCTGTGTTAGTGATGGAAGATCTTATTTTTATAGCCCTACAGGTATTTTGTGAAGTAAACACAAATTGGACATGTTCAGATGAGAAGAAAGCTTTAAAGTAGAAGTTTACTTGTCATAATCCCTGGGCAGTGACACTCCTTGTATTAAGTGACTTTAGCATTACTACAGACGATTTACTCAGAGTAGTGCCGAGTAGATGCACTTACTTCAGAGCTCGCCACTTAATTCAACCTTTATTATGACCTTGAATTTTTTTGAAAGATAATTACCTACAAATGAGTGCTAAAATAACACTAAAATAACAATAACACAACGTTTTAATAATTCTTTACAACTTCAAGAATTTATGTACAAAATCACTTTTGAGAGACAACGAAAGCAACAATTATAACTTCTGGAAAATTTGCATAGTTACTTCTAAGCACTGTATTACCTTTCAGGTAAAAAGAACATTATGCCCTGGGTAGGCATCATTTGAACACTCGTCGGAAGTAACACGCACATAAATTTTTACGTCATAACTTTACTTTAGACGGAAGGCTGTCTGAACATAACTAATTTGACATGACATATAAGGACAAAAGTTGTTTCTTGTTCTACTATTTTGAAAAAAGGAAAATGAAAGTACTTTATTTCTTTTACTCCGAGAAGGCACATCCAAAATGGTTGATGGGACACAGCTACTAATTTCTCAATTTTACCCATTAGACACATGAAAACCAATAAAAGAAGCACTAGACATGATTCATACCATATGTATCCAAAACAATATCTGTTTTATCTGTTTTCTTTCTTTTGCTTTCTTTTTCTTATTCTATATTTTTAGAATTTTAATATTTGCTGTTTTAAATTTTATGATTAATTGATAGATCGGCTATTTTTATATATTTGTATTTAAGTGGGCCCCTAAACATCAGATTTATTCTGTAAGGGTTGCCCACTCAAAACATGGTTTTAAATAAATAAATAAACCAAGAATGAGAGGATTTTTACTAATGTGAGTTAGCCAGATTTTCATACAAAGAAAAAAAAAATTGGTGATGCAGAGAAAATGGATGCATGAAGGGACAACAAACTAGCAATTTTTTTTATTTGGCCAAATACATTATCAAAATTGCTTTTACAGGATCAAACATCTGTGTTAATGTTGGAAGATCTCTATTGACAGCCCACAGGTATTTTGTTCAGTAAAGTATGTCTGTATTATTTAAGAAAATAACTCCATATAAATAACAATTTTTATCATCAAAACATTACCATCACTCATAACATCATAATCAGCCTTAAAGTCATGCATTACCATTACTATCATTAGCATTAAACTTGTCATTGTCATAATTGTCATCCTCATCGTCAAAGTCATCACAACCTCAAATGAAAGCGAACCACTTACCACCAATCTGTTACATAATTCTGAGCCCACCAACTTTTCAAGTGGAGGAAATTTTGAAGCTTAGGAGCAACTTTTTGTTCAAACTCCTGAAATTCAAAGAAAAATTGATTGACAGAATCTGACCAATGTTAAAAGCAAAACAAATTTCGTTCAAGACAAACAACAATCTTTAAATTTTACATTACTGTTAATAATAAAACTGTTGGCCTGTGGAAGGTCGACAATATGTGTATAAATTATCTCTGTATTTTGAGAGCTGGTCAACAGCTGCATTTCAGTCTCTCAACCTTGAGATCGGATTTTGGAAACTTCCCTGTGAATTTCGTTTGTGTCCTTGGGAAAGGCACTTTTGTCTCTCTCCGCCCAGGAGTATAAATGCGTACCTGGTAGGATGATGTAGCTTTGAATGTATTAGTCTATATTACTGCATTAAATTGCAAGCACAACAAGAAACATGGAGTGGAGGAGTTTGCCTAAATGGCCACTGTCTTGTATCCCTTGGCAAAAGGAATGGTATTACATCCCTATATTACAAACAACATTTAATGTTCAAGTAGTTGAAGGAACATGACTTGTCACTCAAGGAATTGGAAAAACATGACATTTTGTTTCTTTTATTCCAGGAAAAACTGGTGTCTTTTGTTTTGTAATTGTATGTTCACAGACATGTTAGTAAATTTACCTGAATACAAATATAATCAGAGTTTTCTTTTTGATAATACAAAGCTAATGCAGAAAATTTTGTTAAATGGCTCACACATACATAATTCATCCCTGTACGTAACACCTGAGTAGGTAGGTTGAACATGCATGATTGATTCTTCCATTTACGTAATACATTGGTATGATTGATTGCTATATCCAATGGCAATAAAAACCTTCATTTGCATGCATTTATGTCACTTGTAGGCCCCTGATAATCATACTCCATCATTTCCTGTCAGTGGTCAACTCCCACTTCTCTAGATTCTGCTCTTTTATATATTAAATAGCTTATTAAAGTTATGGTTTACATTCCATTCTATTATGAAAACCCATAAAAAAGCTGCTATATAAATGATTATAACAGAAAACTAACACAGTAAAACCCTTATTAAGGAGACAACTTCAGAAACAAAAAACATGTTATCTTTAATGAGGGTGTCTCCTGAATAGGAGTTGGCTGTATTGTTGAAAGACATACTTTCCTTTGTTTTCAGGGCCGAAAAAGATTCCCCCTTTGGGTGTCCCAAAGGTGGGTTTTCTACTGTATCAGATTAGTGAAATTACCTTGCCTTCCCTTTTAAATTGTTCATACTGCTCTTGGCTAACTAGTGGTTTTATAGATTTCATGAACTTTCTGATGGTTGCTGGTAAACATGGCACCGGCATGCGTGGTAGACTCTGTTGACAACTGAAGGTTGATGGGCTTGGTCCAGTGATTAGCCTCATTGCAGCTCCCCATAGCAATGTTATCCATGATTGCTTTGTTGGTGGCTCATCTGCATATAAATTAAACATTGAATATTTTTAAAAATTACAATACAGTATATATTTTTTCATGACATCATAGGGTTGAGACACAGGTTAACGCTATGCTAGATAACATACCATTAATCGAGTGGTGTGTAAACTTGTGTGTGGTATGACGCAGAAAACAGACCTTATGCACCATAACTAGCATAATAATCCGCCAACTGACCAGAAATCAGCGTGCACAGTACTACTGAGCTATGACAGTCATGCATCAATGATTTTGAACCCAGGTCAGGATTTGACCAACCACAAAGAGCACTTAAGCGAACATTGTGTTAATCACAATGGATTAACGTAAGAACGGCATTAATCGCAAATGGTGTATACCTCAAGTCTAAATATAGTCATGTAATCTGTAATATTTCCTCTTTATTTTTATTGATTAAACCTTCTCTTTAATGATACAGTAGAACCTCGATTTTACGTACGGTACGGGACCAGAGGGCGTACGTAAATCGGGGGATTCGTAAAATAGAGGTTGGGTTAAATTTGTGGTAACCTTTGACCTAGTAATACGTACGTAACGCTCAATAAACGTATGTACGAACGAACGATGATACCTAGGCTAGACCTAGCCTCTAGGCCTACGAATAAAACCATGTGTTTAATGTTTTCATTCATCACTTTACGATGTCATAATAAAGTGTTCAAATAAAACCATGTGTCTAGTGTATTAATTCATCACTTTATATCTTTTATTCAACTAAAATAAAGAACATGAAAATATTTTAAGATTAACTATACGACAAAGGTATAACTTGGGAATTCCCCTTCATGCCTATTCTAAACAACAGAGATGTGGTGTTGTCTGGGCCTGTTGAGACAAACTAAACCCATGTGCGCTGCACTGGGCGAGCCAACCAATTAGCGTTCGTGTAC